ATTATTTAATCCCAATTTTTATTTTGTAATTTTATTTATTAATAATAATTACATTACATTAAAATATTACAATTTATTTAATAATAATTATTTAATCCCAATTTTAAAAAGCAGTTTTGTATTTTATTATGAATTATGCCGACGCAAAATATCTATTTGTGCCATTAATAGAGAAAATAACCATTTTCAACGAACATTATTCTATTTCTGACATTATTTGTCCTGAACATAACTCGGTTGGAATAATAATGCATCGTGCATGATAGTCGTACCTTGCAATTAAAAGAAATACAGTTCGGAATTAAAAACACTTGTTAATTATTTTTGAATTTTTCCGTGTCGGGTGAAAGCATTATTTCAACAAATAGAAAATGACGAAAATGAAATGATATTTAATTGGCTACGAAAAGCTAGCTGAGTTTCAGTCATGTCAATCAGCTGTCAAAATGTTACGCAATGGAACTATGCAAAGTATTCGCGTGCGAGTGTTACGTTAGACAGTCTGCGAATGACACGCCTTGACAAAATTTAATCGAAATTAGAATTTCTTTCTTGTTCGAGAGATACAAATATTTAAATAATGCAATAAATGCAAACGACCAACTTGTCCTTCTGATGCGGAGTGTAGGTTCAAAAATTTAATGAACTTTGTATCATAAAGAAACGTCCCATTGTGCAACTTGAGGTCAGCTGCAAATGGAAAGATGCAGAAGCTACCTAGTTTCACGAGACTTCAATGAGCGACGAACATTACGTATGATTAATTATCGGTACGTGTGTTCCACTTTTCTCACGTCTTCTATGTGGTCACAGTTCAGGTGTAAAGTACTGGGGATTATTACCATTTATTCTAGTTTATGTGGGAACACATGAAGGAGAACAGTATATTATGTTAATAGTAAATGTATTATTACTTAAACCTTGCAAGAAGCTTTGTAATAAAATGTTCCAGAAGTAAACGAAGTTTGTTTTAAGAGTCGCCTGGGAACCTGTTTCACGTTGCATGTGAAAGTTTACCGACTTGCTATTTAACAGGCGCTGGACTCGTAATTTATTATAAAAAAAAGACTCTGCTATTTGTTCAGAAATAAATCTGTAAATTTTTTATTATTTAGCATTTGTTTAAATCTCTTATATTTGTCATATTTATATTGGCAGTGTTTTTCACATTTATTATGTTGTCCAGTCCTCCGCAACCAGTTTCTTCTATTCAAATTACATTTGCATTGTAAAATCACGTTTACACATTTACGTAATCGTCGTTCGTTGTCCAATTTTCCACGCCAGAAGAAGAGACACGCAGAGCGTGTCAGCTCATCGTTTCAACGAATTCTTTTCACTGACTCCAAGGGATGTTACAACGCAGCCGGATTCTGTAGGATTTCGAAAATTCGCTACTGTTACGTATATTTCTTAAAAAAGAAAAACGCGGCGACCTTCGGAGCTGATTCGAGATATCGAAAGGTGGCGGAGTCTCATCTCGCTTAGTGTCGGCTACGCCGTCCGGCAAGATGCATTTGTTCCTACGCGTTCTTACGTGTCGTTTCTTCAAAACTGCCTCCGAACTCGAATTCTGACGGATAAACCAATCTTGAAGAATCCTGACATTTCTCTGTCGATTAATTCAAAGTGGAATTGGTAATTATATCCATTTGGCCAATTTGCTTATCTTCGTCATTAAGTAAGAATTGTATAAACCATAAAAGCTAATTTCTTGGCAATTATTTTTATCATTTCAGTTATTAACTTGACGGACTCTGATATTCAAATAATTTTACGGTTTCATTAATTTTTTAAAGGTATATTTACTTATATACATTTAGTAATATTAAAAGAACAGGATTTTAATTACTGCATGAAACATTTTTTTATATAGAACAATGACAGCTATTTTCAAAATGACAAATGACAACTTAATTTTTCATTATCGTATCATAATATTTGTATTTAACAACATTATGCAATGCATGCGATTAATCATATTATATCATAGTCCTCCTGATTTTCTATTTAGCCTATTAAAGCCAGTGACCGAATTCCAAGAGCGGTGCCGAGGTCGAAGGATTCATCGTTTCCTAACCGATTTCGAGACCCCCTTACGCAACCATAGATTTGACCGGCCTTCATTATACAGCACAATAGTCAAAATAAAACTCCACGTGCATAAAATTCCTTCGGGTTTTTATCCTGAAATAAAATTTCTTTCGCAACGCATGCATTTAGGCTCAAATATCTACACTTTTGCAATTGCCGGAAAAAATACGTGATTTTGCTGTCGAATTGACACGCTAGTATTAATAGTTGGTTTAGCGTAACCGCGTGCTATTTTTTTTATTGCTACTTTTCCCGCCGCTAAACGATATTGGAATTTACTTTGCGGCTTTCCTATCGTTTTCCTTTCAAAGAATTTGTGTGAGTTAAAACGCACGAGGCATTCCTGCGATACGACTTTATTATTTTCTGTTGTACAATACACATTCGTATTTTATCAAAGATTGCTTCCTAATTTTTTAAAAGAATTTGACTATTTCTTCCAGGTTTTCAGGCTTCACGTAACTAAAGAATTTCATAAGGGACGAAGGCAGAGCGGATTGCGCAATAAGTATATTTGTGTGGGACATACAAAAGTAAGTACATACATAGCGAAATAGAGAGTAAAATTATCGTTCAGAGAAAACGGTACTTGAGACGCAACGTTAAGTTAACAAGTTACAAAAACCCACAACAATATAATTTCATTGCGAGCGATGTTTGCCACGTTCGTATTTAAAAAACGAAACCAGAATTTCGAAAACAGTTGCGCAGGTATTAATTACGAAAAACAGGAGAATCAGACCATGAGAAGAGGCAATGAATTTAAAGGCAATTAACTTTTCCTTTTTGCTTATTTTATTCACTATACATATGCATAATTTGTTTCTTATATTATTTCGGCTATCATCTCGCTTCAAATGCAATTTAGAATTAATGATACTGAAACGAAGCAAGATCGAGTGAAACAGAAAACTTGTTAATCAGGAAGTGGTTTGTCGAAAATCACGCCGGGAACAATTTCCGTTAACAGGAAGTGCATCACGATCGTAATCAGCATGAAGTAACGGCAGTGGAGCGAGCGAACGGGTTTTACCATTACCATTGATTTACGTTCGAGGAAACACGTGGCCGAGGAGTGAAAGTGAAAGATGGACGGGAGATCCACGTGGTCCTGGCTTTACCTCGACGGCAAGTACCGAGTCTGCCGAAGCGCGAGTTACACGGGTACTCGTCTACCGATCATTCGAGTTCCGTCGAAAGAAGTTTCATAATAGTACTCGGAATCGCGAGAGATGATTCAACCCGTGTCGAGTGTCATCAAAATTCGAAGAATCGAGTATGCGACCTGTGAGAAAGTTCGAAAACCCGAAATCGATTATCGGAATGTGTAATTAAAAATACTCGAAGAGTTTCAGCATACGAGTGATTCAGAAATCTAATCGATTTCGTATAAATTTGAGAAAGCTAATTGCATATTGCATTAATCTCATCGGATATTTCCAATGCAAATCAGTTCAGCGATCTCGTCGTTTCGCACTATCACGCAATCGAAATTTTAAAGTGATAACTTATGAAGCTTCCGTAGAAAGTGGCAGCTACCAGTTCGATTACGTCAAAAGCAGCCCGGAGGAAAATTAAAAATAATACTCGAACAAGATGTGGTCTGACAATTTTTTACGTGCGTGCGCTTGGTCGCCAACGTAATTCACGCGGAAGAGAACGGACCGTTTCACTGTAACTACAGTGATCATCGTATTCGAAAGTTGAGTGCAATTAAAGGGCGCAGATCCATTACAAAAACGACGACGCATCGGTGCATCGCTTCGTTTCGTGAGCGAACTCGAATCGATTTGCCATAATCAAAAAGAGTACTCACGATCGTGCTCATTTATACAGTAATTTCTCCACTTAACTGACGATTCTCGTTCCATCATGGAGAGGGTATTTTAAAATCAATCGAATCGAATGGTAACGAATGTGGAAGAACTGGTCGACCTCGAGTTCGATTTGTAAGCTACATTAGTGATCATTCTAGCTTCTACTTTCAAATCGTCGTTGCAAAAACGGTTCCAGTATTTCGTCACAGCCAAAATTCGTTGGTCGATAGTTTGGCAACCGTTGTTAGTAAATTCAGTGCACGCATCCGACTCGAGGCCGTGTCAAAATGGAGCAACGATGGAAACGTTTCGACCCTCGGAAATTCCGAGTGTCAGTGGACAGTCACGCTCAATCTGTCTCAAACGTCGCGACCGTTCAATCTCGTTCATCGGTCGGTAGACAATATCCAATTACGAATTATCTGAATAATTGTTAAATCATTATCCGATGTGCTTAACAGTAAAGAATGCGACGCGAGTGAAAGTGCATTAAAGGTACACGATACAACCGGTGTCTTCGATCGAGAACTTAGCATGACTCAGTTGCAATCCAGTAAACGAGTCTCGTAGGACTTTCCGCGTTCCCTTAAACACGAGTTTGTTAGCCAATCGCTGACTACCATTTAAATCGTAGCTACTCGCGCGAAGAATACGAATCGCCGTGTCACTCGCATTTTTCTCCATTTTCCCAGTGACCGCACGATTACGTGATGAGAATTGCGCGAGTGTGATAACTCCGGGTGTTTAACTGGTTGTGTAAATGTCCAATTTCTTCTGGCAATCAGACGGTATTCTCATTTCTCTCGTTCGCGAACGCGGTACTCCGATGGAAGTCTTCGTGAAATAAGTGTTGGGCATCTATCAAAGAACTTGAAGTCTTGAATATTGTAAATTCAATTTCAGTTAAATGCACAGAGTGATATAATAACAATTGTCACGTGAAATAATTGATTACTCTTATAACTGATTTAAAGA